TTGAGATGGAGTTTTGCTCTTGTTGTCTAGGCTGGAACGCAATGGCACGATCTCGGGTCACTGCAATCTCTGCCTCCCGGATTCAAGCAATTCTCCTGCCTCAGCCTCCCTAGCTGGGATTACGGGTATGCACCACCACGCCTGGCTAATTTAGTATTTTTAGTAGAGACGGGTTTCTCCATGTTGGTCAGGCTGGTCTCAAACTCCTGACCTCGTGATCTGCCCGCCTCAGTCTCCCAAAGTGCTGGGATTACAGGCATGAGCCACCACGCCCAGCCGAGACCGAGGTGCCCATGACCTGCCCAGGGTCACGGCCTGGACGTGCCAGAGCTGAGGCTGGAATCCCGAGGGCACGTTTCTACCTGTTGCTGTCTCTTGCCCTGGAGGTGACTCATTTCACATGGGTGTGGGGTTGACATGGCAGGCCTTAACCCTCAGATGGAAGGAGTCAAACTTCTCTCATTGCTAGTTGTTGCCCTGTGGGAATGTGGGCCCAGTGTGCCCAGACTGTTGATTTTCCGAGGAAATCCGGAATGCCAGAGTTTTACACAAAGTCTCTTTGTTCAATGTTGGCAGTGATTTCAAGGTAATTTCAGTGTCACATTGCTTTGCCAGTGGGGTTGTCCAGAAGTCTCTGAATCTAAAATATATATGTATTTTACTGAGGCTGGGGCTGGTGGCTCATGCCTGTAATCCCAGCACTTTGGGAGGCCGAGGACGGTGGATCATCTGAGGTCGGGAGTTCAAGACCAGCCTGGCCAAAATGTGGAAACCCCGTCTCTAGTAAAACATACAAAATTAGCCGGGCATGGCAGTGGATGCCTGTAATCCCAGCTACTCAGGAGGCTGAGACAGGAGAATCGCTTGAACCTAGGAGGCGGAGGTTGCGGTGAGCCGAGATCGAGCTGTTGCGCTCCATCCTGGGCAACCAGCGCAAAACTCCATCTCAAAAATAAAAATAAAATAAAAATAATTAGCTGGGCATGGTGGTGTGTGCTGGTAGTCCCAGCTACTCAGGAGGCTGAGTGGGAGGATCACTTGATCCCAGGAGGTTGAGGGTGCAGTGAACTATGATTGTACCACTGCCCTCTTGGGAGGCTGAGGCAGAAGAATCACTTGAACCCAGGAGGCAGAGGTTGCATCGAGCCAAGATCACGCCACTCTACTCTGGGCAACAGAGTGAGACCTTGTCTCGAGAGAAAAAAAAAAAATCTGGAAATGTTAAAAGGAGCCAAAAGGCGGGGCGCGGTGGCTCACGCCTGTAATCCTAGCACTTTGGGAGGCTGAGGTGGGTGGATCACCTGAGGTCAGGAGTTCAAGACCAGCCTGACCACTATGGTGAAACCCCGTCTTTAAAAAAAAACAGAAAGAAAAAAGGAGCCAAAAGGCTCAGTGGGTTCTAGAAGCAGACAGTCTGGGTTCCAATCCAGCTGTGTCCCTTATGAGCTGTGTGATTCTAGACTACTTAACTTCTCTGTGCCTCTGTTTTCTTGTGTCAAAAATGGGCCATACCCCAATATTACTGGACTGTAGTGGAGATGTCTAAAACAGTGCTGCCCAACAGAAATATAGCGTGGAGCAGCCATGCACAGTGGCTCACCTGTAATCCCAGCACTCTGGGAGGCTGAGGCTGGCAGACCACTTGAGGTCAGGAGTTTGAGACCAGCCTGGCCAACATGGTGAAACCCTGTCTCTGCTTATAAAAATTAGCTGAGTACAGTGGCGGATGCCTGTCATCCCAGCTACTCAGAAGGCCGAGGCAAGAGAATTGCTTGAACCTGGGAGGTGGAGGTTGCAGTGAGCCGAGATCATGCCATTGCACTCCAGCCTGGGCAATGGAGTGAGACTCCATCTAAAAAAATAATAATAATAAAATAAAAATTCATCCTGCATTTAATAATAAATTTTATTTAATTCAATATACCCAACATGTTTCCCCATGAAACATTATGAATGAGGCATCTTCCATATGTTTTTGAGACAGGGTCTCACTCTCTTGCCCAGGCTGCAGTGCAGTGGCACGGTCTCTGCTCACTGCAGCCTCGATCTCCTGGGCTCAGGTGATCCTCTGACCTCGGCCTCTCAAGTAGTTGCGACCACAGACAAGCACCACCACGCCTGGCTAATTATTATTATTTTTTTTTTGAGATGGAGTTTCGCTCTTGTTACCCAAGCTGGAGTGCAATGGCGCGATCTCGGCTCACCGCATCCTCCGCCTCCTGGGTTCAGGCAATTCTCCTGCCTCAGCCTCCTCAGTAGCTGGGATTACAGGCACGCGCCACCATGCCCAGCTAATTTTTTGTAGTTTTAGTAGAGACGGGGTTTCACCGTGTTGACCAGGATGGTCTCGATCTCTTGACCTCGTGATCCACCCGCCTCGGCCTCCCAAAGTGCTGGGATTACAGGCTTGAGCCACCGCGCCCGGCCTACCCAGCTAATTTTTTATATTTTTAGTAGAGACGGGGTTTCTCCATGTTGGTCAGGCTGGTCTCGAAGTCCTGACCTCAGGTGACCCACCCGCCTCGGCCTCCCAAAGTGCTGGGATTACAGGCTTGAGCCACCGCGCCCGGCCTACCCAGCTAATTTTTTATATTTTTAGTAGAGACGGGGTTTCTCCATGTTGGTCAGGCTGGTCTCGAAGTCCTGACCTCAGGTGATCTGCCCACCTTAGCCTCCCAACATGCCAGAATGACAGGCGTGAGCCACCACACCCAGCTGATTTTATTTATTTATTTTGAGACATTGTTTTGCTCTGTGGCCCAGGCTGGAATGCAGTGGCACGATCTCAGCTCACTGCAACCTCTGCCTCCTGGGTTCAAGTGATTCTCTTGCCTCAGCCTCCTGAGTAACTGAGATTACAGGAGTCCACCACCACGCCTGGCCAATTGTCTGTATTTTTAGTAGAAACGGGGTTTCACCGTGTTGGCCAAACTGGTCTTAAACTCCTGACCTCAGGTGATCCACCTGCCGAGGCCTCCCAAAGTGCTGGGATTACAGGTGTGAGCCACACCGGGCTTTTTTCTTTTCTTTTTTTTTTTTTTAGATGGAGTCTCACTCTTACCCAGGCTGGAGTGCAATGGTACCATCATACCTCACTGCAGCCTCAACCTCCTGGGCTCAAGCGATCTTCTCATCTCAGCCTCCAGAGTGGCTGGGACAGCAGACACTTGCCACCACGCCCAGCTAATTTTTAAATTTTTAGTAGGGACGGAGTCTGGCAATGTTGACCAGGCTGGTCTCAAAGTCCTGGGCTTAAGCGATCCTCCCACCTCAGCCTCCCAAAGTGCTGAGATCACAGGCATGAGCCACCACGCTAGCCTCATGGCATTTTGCAGAGGAGAATGTGGAAGTTGGAGGTGGCGTGTTCCTGAAGCTCACCTTGCTAGGTCTTGGTGGCAGGCGGGGAAAGCAGACAGGGGCGTGTGGGCCACCTTCCCGTGCTGACCTTTCTTGGGGGTAACTGTGTTTGCCTGTCCTGTTTCCTGCAGATCTGCTCGGGGAGCTCCGGCGGAATCTGGAACAGTGAATGGGTAGAGGGCGCCGGGCGTGCAGAAGGCGGGCAGTGTGGAACATGCCTTCACCGTCCCCAGCTTCTGCCGCCCGAGGCCGAACCCACCTGTGCCCATGGCCTGCACGGGCCCGTCACTTCCCAGCGCCTTCGACATCCTGGGCACAGCGGGCGAGGAAAAGCTCTTGTATCTGAAGCACAAACTGAAGACTCTGCGCCCAGGCTGCCAGGGGCGGGACCTCCTGCACGCCATGGTGCTGCTGAAGCTGGGCCAGGAGACCGAGGCCAGGATCTCTCTAGAGGCACTGAAGGCCGATGCCGTGGCTCAGCTAGTGGCCCGCCAGTGGGCTGGCGTGGACAGCACTGAGGACCCGGAGGAGCCCCCGGACATATCCTGGACCGTGGCCCGCCTGTACCACCTTCTGGCTGAGGAGAAGCTGTGCCCGGCTTCGCTGCGGGACGAGGCCTACCAGGAAGCCCTCCGTACCCTCAGCGCCAGGGACGACCGCCGGCTGGGGGAGCTCCAGGATGAGGCCCGGGACCGGTGTGGGTGGGACGTGGCTGGGGATCCAGGGAGCATCCGGACGCTCCAGTCCAATCCGGGCTGCGTCCCACCGTCCTCGGCTTCGCCCTCTGGGACCCGGAGCCTCCCTCGCCCCATCGATGGCGTTTCAGGCTGGAGCCAAGGGCGTTCCCTGAGGTCAACTGGCAGCCCCGCCTCCCTGACCAGCAACTTGGAAATCAGCCAGTCGCCCACGATGCCCTTCAGCCTGCGCCGCAGCCCCCACGGTCCCAGCAAGCTCTGTGATAACCCCCAGGCCAGCCTGGTGCCCGAGCCTGTCCCTGGTGGCTGCCAGGAGCCTGAAGAGATGAGCTGGCCCCCCTCGGGGGAGATCGCCAGCTCCCCAGAGCTGCCAAGCAGCCCACCCCCTGGGTTTTCTGAAGCGGCCCCAGATGCAACCTCGACTGGCCTCCCTGATGCCCCCGAAGCTCCAGAAACCAGCACCCAGTTCCCGGTGGGGTGCACCGAAGGGTCTGCAGGCCCCCAGTCTCTCCCCTCGCCCATTTTGGAGCCCCACAAAAACCCCTGCCCTGTCAAAGACCAGACACCACCCCAACTTTCTGTAGAAGACACCACCTCTCCAAATACCAAGCCAAGCCCATCTATTCCCACCACCCCAAAAACATCCCTTCCTCCTCCTCCTCCTCCATCAGCCCCCTGTTCGGCTCACCTGGCCCCCTCCTCCCTGTTCCCTTCCTCCCTGGAATCGCCATCGGAGCAGAAATTCTATAACTTTGTGATCCTCCACGCCAGGGCAGACGAGCACATCGCCCTGCGGGTCCGGGAGAAGCTGGAGGCCCTGGGCGTGCCTGACGGGGCCACCTTCTGTGAGGACTTCCAGGTGCCCGGGCGCGGGGAGCTGCGCTGCCTGCAGGATGCGATTGACCACTCTGCCTTCATCATCCTGCTTCTCACCTCCAACTTCGACTGCCACCTGAGCCTGCACCAGGTGAACCAAGCCCTGGTGAGCAACCTCATGCGACAGGGGCCATCAGACTGCGTCATCCCCTTCCTGCCCCTGGAGAGCTCCCTGGCCCAGCTCAGCTCCGACACAGCCAGCCTGCTGTCCGGGTTGGTGCGGCTGGACGAACACTCTCGGATCTTCAACAAGAAGGTGGCCAACACCTTCACGTCCCACAAGCTTCAGGCCCGCAAGGCCATGTGGAGGAAGGAACAGGACACCCGAGCCCTGCGGGAACAGAGCCAACACCTGGACAGTGAGCGGATGCAGGTGGCCGCCATGAACGCTGCATACTCGGCCTACCTCCGGAGTTATTTGTCCTGGCATGCACAGATGGAGCAGCTCCAGGCGGCTTTTGGGAGCCACATGTCATTTGGGACTGGGGCACCCTTTGAGGTTCAAATGCCCTTTGGGGGCCAGGTGCCTCTGAGAGCCCCGCCACCCTTTCCCACTGGGCTGGGGTGCCCGCAGCCTCAGCCCCTGCACGGGTGGCAGGCTGGTACTCCCCCACCACCCTTCCCACAGCCCCCAGCCTTCCCTACAGCCTCACCTGCACCCCCTCAGAGCCCAGGACTGCAACCCCTCATTATCCACCATGCACAGATGGTACAGCTGGGGCTGAACAACCACATGTGGAACCAGAGAGGGTCCCAGGCACCCGAGGACAATACGCAGGAGGCAGAATGACTACTGTCCTGACCACCTGGGGAATACACCTGGACCCAGGCATCAGCTTTGGGCAGGACCTCATAGACCACCCCGGTCTGTCCTGTCCCCTGGGGACAGTGGAAGATGAAGTTATCTGCCACTTTCAGGACATTGCCCGGGAGTCCTTCATTTAGGACAAAACGGACGCTCTGGCCGTTAGGGTGGCCAGACCTGGACATGGTGTTTACGATTCCAATCTATTTCTGGGTGAGGGTTCATGGTGGTGGAGATATTGCTACTATCTTTTAATTATAATAAATATTTATTTAACGCTTCTGCAGCGCCATTGTCTTCTGGGACACCCGCTGCCCGGCTATTTGTTATAAAACACGTGGCTCCCGCGCCTACAAAAGGGAACCGGAAGCAGGAAGTGCACGCCTCTTGGAGGGCATAAGCCGGAAGTTGTCCACATCTGCCCTCATCCCATTGGCCAGAATATAATCACATTGGCCTACTCCTGCCGCAAGGGACGCTGGGAAATGTAGTCCTTTTTGAGCAGCCATGTGCTTTGCCGGGTCTTGGTTCTAATATCTGGAAAAGTGGAAGGAGAAGTTATTGTTGGGGGTCGGGGGCGGTGCAGCCTGGGCAACATGGTGAGACCCCGGCTGTACAAATATCCAACAATTAGCCGGGCCTGATGGTGCACACCTGTAGTCCCAGCTACTCAGGAGGCCCAGGTGGGAGGATTGCTTGAGCCCAGGAAGTTAAGGCTGCAGTGAGCTATGAATGAATGAATGAATGAATTGGAATGAATGTCATTGAATGAATGCCACTGGGAGACATTTAGCAGTTTTCACTGCAGCGCTTCCTTTTTCTCTGGGGCCTGCCTTGATGCCCCCACCAAGGTTGGACTGTGATGCCACTGTGTGACCTTGGGCAAGTGCCTCAGCTCTCCGAGCCTCTGCTTTTTCATCTGAGCAATGGGTCTGTGGAGGCTGTTGTGTCGAGGCCTCAGCGGATCGTATGCAGAACCACATAAACACCAAGTACACCAAGCCTGGGTAGCAGGTGCAGTGCTCATTAAGCGTGGGGACCCACGTGGAAGGGATTGATCTTTTTCAATCCCTTGGATTTGAAAGGGTGACAGAACTTGTAAGAATCAGAATGGAGCCAACGTTTGTTGGACACTTAACATTTATTGATTCTGGAGTGCCTAAATATATAAACAAGAGGTGCAGTGGTGGCTCACACCTATAATTAATCCCAGAACTTTGGGAGGCTGAAGTGGGAGTGTTCCTTGCGGCCAGGAGTTCAAGACCAGCTTGTGAACCATAACGAAACTCCACCTCTTTTTTTTTTTTTTTTTTTTCTGAGATGGAGTCTCACTCTCTCACCCAAGCTGGAAAGCTGTGGCAAGATCTTGGCTCAATGCAACCTCCACCTCCTGGGTTCAAGCAATTCTTCTGCCTCAGCCTCCCGAGTAGCTGGGATTACAGGGACTTGCCACTACACCTGGCTAATTTTTGTATTTTTAGTAGAGGTGGGGTTTCGCCATGTTGGCCAGGCTGGTCTTGAACTCCTGACCTCGGGTGATCCACCTGCCTCAGCCTCCTAAAGTGCTGGGATTACAGGCATGAACTACCACACCCAGCTGCATCTTATTTACTTATTTATTTATTTGTGAACTGAATAAGACATCCAACTGTTTTTAAAAAATAATAATAATAAATTGGCCAGGCGTGGTGGCTCCCATCTGTTAACCCAGCACTTCGGGAGACCAAGGCGGGCAGATCAGTTGAGGTCAGGAGTTCAAGACCAGCCTGGCCAACATGATGAAACCCCGTCCCTACTTAAAACAGAAAAATCAGCTGGGCGTGGTGGTGTTCGCCTGTAGTCCCAGCTATTCCGGAGGCTGAGGCAAGACAATTGCTTGAACCTGAGGTGGAGATTGCAGTGAACTGAGATTGCGCCACTGCACTCCAGCCTGGGTGACAGAGCACAACTCTGTATCTTTTTTTTTTTTTTTTTTTGATTCTGTATCAAAATAAAAATTGGCTGGACGTGGTGGCTCACACCTGAAATCCCAGCACTTTCTCCCACCCATCAAGTTGGGTGGATCACCTGAGGTCAGGGGTTCGAGACCAGCCTGGCCAACATGGTGAAACCTAGTTTCTACTAAAATGCAAAAATTTGCTGGGTATGGTGGCGCGCACCTGTAGTCCCAGCTACTTGGGAGGCTGAGGCAGGAGAATCACTTGAACCTGCGAGGCAGAAGTTGCAGTCAGCCAAGATCATGCCACTGCACTCCAGCCTGGGTGACAAGAGTGAAACTTTATCTCAAAAAAAAATAAAAGCCAGGCGCGGTGGCTCACGCCTGTAATCCCAGCACTTTGGGAGGCCGAGGCGGGTGGATCACGAGGTCAAGAGATCGAGACCATCCTGGTCAACATGGTGAAACCCCGTCTCTA